TATAATATAATATAATATAATATAGTATAATTATAATAAAAAATAAGTTTCTTACATTAATGTAATAAGTATAAGTAATAATTATAAGTAAGTAATCGTTGATTCCTAATATTCATTTTATTACAATTAGAACAATTTTACACCAAAGTTTCTATGAAATACGTTATGTTTTAAAATTTATTCGGTCAATTAATTGTTTTTATAACGCAGTTTTTTCACCCTGTAGAGCTATAAACATCGAGAATGCACGGAATTTTACTGCTTGTTTCCTAGTGCAGGTAACTGGCACTTTGGTTATGCTGCTTTTCCTCTCTTTTCCATTAAATTTTTTAATATTTCATGCTAATTTTAATGTGTATTGTGTATTTAACCTAAATTGAGCACAGGTAGTATTCGTGTGAAAGTGAAGAGGTTAAGTGTAAGACTAGAATTAGATTGAAATTAATTTAATATTATTTTTTCAAATAAATTTTATGGTGTCATAAAAATACTTATTGAGATCGTTGAGGATTTTATTAATCCGTCTTTATCTCCCACTAATTCTTTCCCATCGCACAATGCATTATGCTATATTTACTAGTTTAGAGATTATAATGTGCTTTTCACATACAATATACTCTGTTAGTTTAACTTCTGCTGCATTTTTTATTATCTAAAATAAATAACGCAGTAGAATTGAGAAAATTTATATTAGAATTTACAATGAGTTTAATTATTATCTATTTTCATTTTAATTTTTATATATCTTTTATCCTTTATTCTAATTAAATGTTAAATTTTGTTCTTAGGTAGATAAAACTTTAAAAATAGTAATAGCCGTTTATTGCTTTGAATAATCAAAACTAATCGAAAGCATAAAGACAGGTCTTTGTTTTGAAACAATCAATAATAATTGGTGTGGCTTTCAATTATCATTCGATTTGGCTCTCGACTAAACCAACTACGAATAATTCCACTTCTTCATTTTCCTGATATCAAACACTAGAGTCGAAGACGAGTGATGACATATGGATGCCAACTGAGGCATCATAAGTTCAAAATGTGCTGGGAATGCTTGTTGTGTGTATCAAGTAAACATTGAAGCACAATAATATGACAACATAAGAGAGCATCGGAACATCAATAGAAACCCGAAACGTTCTTTAAAAGGGTTTTTTTCAAAACATTTTTTGCCTCAACTACCCGTCCTTTATTACGTTTTGACTAAAAAAATATTCATAAGTGCGTAATTTAGGCGAAATGATGTCATTTGAATTTGTATTCATAAATTTGAGTCGTGAGTACTGTCAATTTTATTTGAGTTTTCAATTTGCGACTGTTTGGGTTATATTCAACGCCTTGTGGTGTAAAATAAGTTTCTTTGTTGGACTTTTGGCATTTTTATTATGTAATGAAAATTATTTTCTTTTCGATTTTTATTATACATATACTTATACAGTTGTTTACTGCGTATTTAACTAGATTTCTGATTTGACAAATTTTCCGTTTCTTCTCACTAATACCCAAAAAAATTTTTCCTTTGGTATTTTTGCCTTGAAAATTGCGCGTGAAAATGTACTGCGTAACTCTGTAGTCCACATGCACTTGTAATCGCTTTATGTTTATAGTTTTTACACATTTCTATTTAAAGGTCATCATCTGTTTGCCATTGTTTTGCACCCAATTCCACTTTCGGTTTACCTTACAAAAAGTCAAGACGTCTCTTCTTCTGCCCAACATCGCTTCTGGAATGATAAAACAAGGGTGTGGAATGATTTTGCACGTCGCACGAGACTTTTATTTAATACGTAGCCAGTAGTGTAGTTAATATACTTTCGGAAAAGTATGCCTTCACATTTACATATGTATACTTTATTATTATATTACGTTTTAAAAGAAAACTAATTAACTGCTTCTGAAAACCTAATTCTAACGGTGAAGATGTATATGATATGTAAAAGTATACATATCATATACTAAGTGTATGTCATCGGCTTCTGCATATTGCACCAGAAAGACTACTTGTCTTTTATGACTAACTATTCATCAAGTCATTTTCCAACTTCCTTGAAATTGCTGAAATGCTACTCTGCGAGTATGTGTCCATCCTATTGATGTGACGAGATAATGGTCAGATGGCACCAGGTGTGGGAAGTACGGTAGGTACGGAAGAGCATCCCATCCAAGCGATTTCAAGGTGTCTGCCATTGGTTTTGATGTGTCATGTGAAAAAATCACTATGCCATGCCTTCTACCCGGTTGTCTTTGGATCAATACATTTTTTAAACTTACTATTTTTTGGTTAAAGCATTTAGGTCTTTTGGTTGTCGAAGCATTTAGGTCTTGCCTTTGAAGAACCAGCTTCGCCAGGTAAAAGCCACGTGATTGTCCATTTGACGTTTACTCAAATCATTTACGAAGTTTATTGATCTTCCCCATTGCTCATAAACGTCTGCTGATTATATCTTGTGACACATTTAATGTTTTTACAAGCGTTTGCAATGGAGTCATCATCCAACAATTCATGCAATTGCTCGTCTTCGCACTACCAGAGCTCTCTTTCAGATAGAAATTACCACTTTTAAATTTTGGAAACCATGTCTCATATGTTCTAATCGATGGAGCGTGTTCGCCATATGTTTTTACCAGTAAACGAAGATGTTCAATTGTCATTTTCTTTTGATAAAACAAGAAAAGCAATGTGTGCGGCATATATTCTATAATCACTGAACGATAATTACAAAGACACTATTTTTTGGGGGACTCAACTCACGTGAGTTTGTTGTTTAATGACACACGAACAAAATAACGTATATGTGAAATGGATTCACTGTGCACTTTTCGGTAGTGTCTTCTCTTAGTAAAACCGGAAAAAGCCTATGTTATCTAATAAGATGCTTCGAGCATTTTGACGTACGTATCAAGTAAGTTGCTAGAAAATCTGCGGCTATAGGTGTTATAGGATGTCTACTTTCAGCAGTTTGAAGCTCAACTTCATCATGTACTTTGACCATATTCGAACACTTAAAGTGGTCAAGTCAAATGTTCGAATTCGAATATATTCGAACTACTCTAGCAATGCAATACACGAACACTATCAAGCCCTACTACTACATGTATATGGATCTGTAAATGTTTCTGTATGACAAACAGTCTAAAAAGTGTGGTTAGATTCCACTATATTCATTTCAATTTTATTCGGGGTTTGAAATCGAAAAATGTAGACATTTTGACAGGAGCTGACTGGCCGGCCTGCAAGTAAATTTTTAATTTTTTTTTTTTTCTTAATTACCATAAAATGAAAAATGCAATTTTGGTTCATTTCAAGTGCAACTAAAGCCGCGTGCCTGCCTTGCCTGCTTGCCTGCTTGCCTGTCTGCCCTGCATTAATTTT